CACTTCCCATATATATCAGAGACCTAGACCAATGTAACCATTGCTAGGTCTCTGCATAATAATATATCTCTTTTCTTATCTCTCTCACTCCCAGTCACTCTCACCACCCTCCCTCTGTTATGCTTCTCCTCCTTCTTGTTATTCGTCTTCTTCTTCCTCTAGGCCTATGAGCGCTCCAAACCCGCTGTGAGAAATTGGAAGATGGTCAAAGGCATGAGACCGAAACCAGGAATTCCCAGAGTACCTACTTAATGTATTCATGGGTCAAATGGACAGATGACTCGGCCTTGTTGTGATTGGCTGCAAACCACCCGATCGCGCGATTCGCAGGCCTGAAAACAAACGCGTTTGTCTTTGCAGGTCACAAACTGAGTCTCATCGGTTTGTGCCACAACAGCTGTTTTGCACCCTCAATTTGGCTAGCCCTGACTACCCGATCAGCCCAGCCCGACCTGACCCAACTCAACCCGATCGCGTATTTGGGCACCCCCTATAAAGATCCTGTCTCCTTACGTGAGTCGCGACGTCTAGCAGCGCGCAACCGTTGCCAATGATTGGTCCAAGTAGCGCTCAAGCGCCTCGTCATGTGCGACAAACTGGGAATGTGACAGGTTTAAAGCTTTACCAAGGAGTGCCGGTTGACACGCCATGTGCATGGTCTGTGTATGTATGGCGGCACATGACCCATGCACATAGCGCCTTAGGCTCGGCTTTTGGCTATGTGCAAAAAATAACATTGCAGAAACAAGACTATTTCCAAACTGCTGTTTGTTCAGTCGAAAATACCTTTTGAAGTTGACTCCATTTAGCTCCAACTCTACCATTAGATGATGGAAAGCTCCGTATTCTTGTCACTTTTGATACATATCAGACCAAGTATCTTGCGACTGAAAATTTTTGCACAATTTGGTCGCGCAAAAGAATACACACCTCGCATCTCATCGCTAGGGACTGCTGCGCAGGACTTAACGCGACACGCATTTGGAAACACTCTTAAGCAAACGGGGATTATGTTAAGTCCGAAGTGGGTGATTAATTTACTCTCAAAGTTTCTTTTTTGTGTGACAAGACCATAGTATGGTCATGTGATCGTTTTGCAGCTCAAATTGATGCACTGTACTGAACTCAGTTTATTGTGTTTTATTGCAGGGCAGAGTTCACTGTAGTCTACAGAGGGTTTTATCCCTTAGCAGAGGTAAACATTTTATTATCTTTTTTTTTTTTACCTCCATTTCTCTTGTCATAGGATCCGCACAGTATCATTATCATCTTAGAAAAGGGTTCCAGGCGGTGTCATTTCCATTGCTGCTTCATCACCAGAATGTTTGGGACTATGTGTGATTTTTAGCTGAGGGGAGTTTATGCCTATAGTTTCATGTACTGACAAGTGAATGTTGTAGTTTCTTGTGCAAACAAGGAATCAAACAAGGAATGAATGTGTTCACTTCACAATGACCTAATTTTCTGCTAATTGTTGAGGTGTGGATACCGAGCATGCTTGACGGGTTGGTGTGTGTATCATCAACTGAAACTGCAATGCTAAAATATGTGTGTGTGTGTGCGCGCGTGCGTGTGTATGTGTGCATGTGTGTGTGCACCCCCCCCAAATAGACCCAGCGTCTTTCTCTTCGAATAGGAAAAGAAAAAGAGGAAGCTAACGGGTCAAGGGGTGACCCCGTAAAGAGACATATTACTTTACTATGTTTCTTTCTCTTTCTATTTATTGTTTTTATTGTTTTACTTTATTACATTTATTAACTTTTCTTTTCTCCTCTCTCCATCGACAACCTTTCTTTGACCTGGAGTTGGGACGGGTATTGGTGGGGTGGAAAGCAGAGGTTCATTGTCAGCACTGTACTGGATGTGACTTTACGTAGGGAATACCCAGCTACATACATGTATTAAGCATGCACTTATCGGAGAGCCCTATGACTGCGGAGAAGGTGCAGAGACCATTTGCGTCTTGCTTGTTGACAACATTAACCCTCTGGGATCTGCCATGCCTTCCCCTGCCCCCATCTCTCGGATGAGAGGACTTGGTTGCTCTGGGAGGGGGGGGGGGGGGAATCTAGCTTCCAATTGGTATTATTACTACTATTAGAATTATTATTATATTATAATTTTTGTATTTCAGCAACACACAGCAACTATGCTCTTAATAGCGTCTTTCTCTTCTTTATCTCCTCAAACAACTCCTCAATATAATACAACAGACACCAACATACCCATTCATTTTTCTTACAATCTCTCTGTGATGGAGTTGGGTTTTTTGTTTGTGGCATTGCACCTACAGCCACTGCTTTATCTCCTACCCCGGGATGGAAGGAAAATCCCAGAACCACCAGTTTTAGATGCTATTCACGAATGATAGAATCCCATACGAGTTGAGACGCCGTCTCGGTAATCAAGGTCTCCCCCAGGTCTTAATGGGCAACCAAGCTGGCCTGGTGGATGGTTATTGGAAGGAAAAGAAAATCAGAAAGCAGAGAAAATGGAAAAACAAGAAGAAAACACCCCCTACAACTGGTAACGGAAAAGAGAAGCTTATAGACTTCAATATTCTTCAGGCAAATGTCTTTGGCTTGGACAAGAAGAAAACACAATTGGGGAAAATTTTGTATGAAAGGAAAGTCCACATTGCTCTATTACAGGAAACTCCATTCATCCTGTAACATAAACATCACTGGGTATACCCCTTATCCATGTAAATGTGAAGGTTGCCAAGGGATTATAACCTATATCAGAAATGACATCCTGGGTGAAGTAGAGCTCCTTAATTGGCACCCCACAGACGCACATAAAGTCACCCTGTGGTATGGCAACAGCAAGCTCATACTCTATAACATCTATTGTCCCCCAAGTAGCACTCTGAACTTCTTGGAACAGAGTACTGTCTTTAAGAAGACGGTCATAGCTGGTGACCTTAATGGACACTCCCCCCTTTGGGGCTATGCTGACCAAAACAACACAGGTAAGAGGATTGAAGAACTATGTCAGTCCTCTAACCTCATCCTTCTCCAAGATGAGGATTCAACCAAAACACTTCTTCATAGGAGACATGGGACCCTCCACAGACCAGATCTCACCCTGGTCTCTGCTGATTTACACAACTACTGCAGTGACGAGGTGCTAGACTGTATATCTAGTGACCATCGTCCCGTTCTCACCAAAATCAGTATACTGAAACACAGACAAAGGAAAAGAAGAACCCGTTGGAACTTCAAGAAGGCAAACTGGGATCTCTTCAGAAAAACAGCTGAGGACACCGTTAAACTGGATGATCTAGACAATAAAAGTATAGACACCCTTAATAGTGAACTCACCTCCACCATCTTAGATGCTGCGAAGAAGAGTATCCCACAGGGGTGCAGAACCAACTATAAACCCTTTTGAAACAAGCGCTTGGAGAAAGCTACAAAAACTAAAAATAATGCCAGACATGAATATGAGAAAGATCTAAAAAAAATATGGCAAGAAAATTAGATACAAAAAGGCTGTAGCAGAGGCTAAACTTGTCACCAAGGAATATAAGAAGGAAGCCTGGACGCAGAAGTGTGAGGGACTCAATTTACATCAAGGTGGACGTGAAGCTTGGTCTCTTCTAAATAACCTCACTGGCGAAAAAAGGAAAGAAAACCCCAAACCACTACACACAGAAACCGAAGTTCTCACCAGCGAGTTAAAAAAAGCCGTACACTTCAATAAACATTTTGCCTCCATTAACAAAAGCAGCAAAAGGAATGACTTGGACAGGGGTCTACTGAGTGTTCTGAAAGGAAAAGAGAGAGATTTGATACCGAGTATCTTCCAGGACTTCTTAACTAAGCGAGAGTTAGACTGTGCAATCAAGAAACTGAAGAAGCGAAAAAGCCCAGGTCCTGATAAAGTACACAATGAGATGCTACAAAACCTTGGTGAAAAAGCCAAATTGCTACTTCTTAAGCTCTACAACAGAACATGGACCGAGGGAAATCTGCCTAAAGCATGGAAACTAGCTACTATAAACCCAATCTTAAAGAAAGGAAAGAAGGCCAAGGTCCCTAAAAACTACCGCCCAATATCACTCACGTCCTGCATTGGCAAGCTCTGTGAAAGAATCCTCAATTCTCGTCTTTATTGGTGGCTTGAGTCTTCAGGTCTGATATCACAGTGTCAAGCAGGGTTCAGGTCAAAAGGCAGGACAGAAGACCAGCTTTTTAGGCTTACACAGAAAATCATTGATGGATTTCAAAGAGGGGAACAGACAACGGCTGTGTTTGTGGATCTCCAACAAGCCTACGATAGAGTGTGGAGGAAAGGACTACTCTTAAAACTGCAGAACATGGGAATCAAGGGAAACATGTGCTCCTGGATTAAATCATTCCTTACAGATAGACTTATCCAGACCCAGATGGATAAAACCCTATCTTCAAAAGCAGTACTGGAGGAAGGACTCCCACAGGGATCTTCTATCAGCTGTATCTTATTCCTTGTCTTCCTCAATGACGTTTCAGATGTTCTCAGAACAGAAAAAGCCCTTTTTGCTGATGACCTGGTCCTTTGGCACACTGGAAACTCGACAACAATAAGCAGACGAAGACTACAAGATGATCTAAATTCCCTAGGAATCTATTGCCGTTTATGGAAGATGAAAGTAAATTGCGAAAAAACTGTCTACTCTGTTTTTACGAGAAGCTGTAACCTTGCAAATGCAGAAATCCCTCTCAAAATCGATGGTACCAACTTGAAAAAGGAGAATAACCCAGTGCATCTTGGAGTACAACTTGACAGCAAGCTCAACCTGAAACAACACACCAACAACCTTAGGAAGAAGGCTATGAAGAGACTTAATCTCATCAAACGACTTGCCAGTACCAACTGGGGATCAGGCAAGAACACCTTGAGAGGCCTTTATTTAGGATATACCAGAGCTGTTTTTTATTATAATCTTGTTCTACAGAACATTTGCAGTAAAACTACAAAGAACTCAATGGACACCATCCAAAACCAAGCTCTTCGTCTTATCTCTGGCGGAGTGAAAACCTCACCGACTGCGGTCCGTGAAATCCACACGAATATTGAGCCATTAGAAACTTGAAGAAAACGGGCAGCTTTAGAAGTATATGAAAGATCTAAAAGGCTAGAAAATAACCACCCTAATAGAATCCTTGTTGACAAGTGGAAACCTAATCAAAGACTAAAAAATACAAAATCTGTACTTGACACTGTTCTCAATCTCCAAGAAAAACATCACCTCCTTGAAAGACGAGAACCTCTGGAAAGAGTTCCCTCAACTCTCCCACCACATCTCACCGTAGCAAAGCCAGAAATTAGGAAAACACTTTTGGACAACAGCAATAAAAACACATATCCTGTAGCACTAAAACATTCTGCCCTTGAAACAATTGATTCCTATCCACCAACATGGATCCACTCATACACTGATGGATCTGCCTTTAAGGCAACAATCAACGCTGGATATGAGTCAGTGATCAACTTGCCCAGTAGGATAAAAAAAGAAGTCTTTAGTTCCATCGGGTCCTTCTGCTCCAATTTCATTGCTGAACAACAGGCTATCACCAACACAGCAAACTACATCAACTACTTGTTTGACACTAACCCACTTGCTACCACAGACATTGTTATCTTTACAGACAGCCTTTCAACACTAGAGACACTTGGGAGTGGGACTGATGTGAACAAAGATTTATTGCACTTGATTTGGAGTCTACATAATTTGATAAGTAGGCACAACGTCAGAGTAGGCCTACAATGGATTACTGCCCACACTGGGATACAGCGAAATGAAAGAGCTGATGCTCTGGCAAAGAAAGGAGCTGGCCTCCCTCAGCCTGAAATTCCTATGAATTACACCACCTGCTGCCAAATGATCAAGTCAAAACTCAAGGAAGAGTGGATGAATGATTGGGCCACAGATACAACAGGAAGGAGATTGTATGGCCACATGAATAAACCTCTGGTCAAAGATCCAATCAATGAGTCGAGGAGGGGAGATCAATCCATAATCTTCCAACTTAGAGCACAACATGTACCCCTCAACCAACATCTCAACCGAATTGGAGTAAAGCAGTCTGCTGCCTGCCCAGTATGTGACTACCCCTCAGAGATAGTGGAACATCATCTGTTCTTCTGTAGAAAACTAACTGATTTAAGGGGATGTTTTCTTTCCAAGCTACCCCACACATCTAATTGCCTCTACTCCTCAAGACAACAATTAGAACAAACATGCAACTATTACCGAATGGCATCATGCAGAAGAGTTAACGCTCAGATGCTACTGGATCACTAACAACAACAACAACATGTGTGTGTGCATGCGTGCGTAGGTGCATGTGTAAGACAAAATTTGAAGCCCCTATGAAAGACTGTAAAGAATGAGTAGTAGCAGATCATCAAGAAAGATCTATCAATGTTGGCATACGAATGGCTAATGGGCTCAGACCATTGTTAAACCCGCCATTATTAGGATAGCTCACAAAGGGAAGAACTGAGGTGTATTATCCCTGGAAATGATAAACCTTTTGTATGATTAGAGTTGTAGGGAAATCATATGAAAGTTTTGATTTTACTGAATAATTCAAGAGAAATTTAGAAAGAAGTACCCAAATGTTTAATTCTAAGAGAGGAATGAACCAATTCCTAATGGAATTAACTCACCCCCCCCCCCCCCCCTTCCATTCTCCTGCTATTTGCTATTGTGGAAGTTACACCAAAAAAAACGTACATGGGAAAGAGTCATGAAAGTTGGTTTTCAAGCTGCATGTGACATTATTTATTACAACTTTCCCCATTATCTTCAGGACGGCCGTGTTGATAGAATTCATGATTCCATTGAGAATGTCATCACAGATTCGGGTCGGAGAAAAGAAGTAAGTTGAGAAGAATTGTGTTTTCTTTGAGGATGTTATTGAATGTTTAAAAAAAAAAATTATTTCATGTAAGAATGCTTCTTGCCATATATTACTCTTTTCTCTTTATTCTAGTTACTCTAAGTAAAGACAAAAATCTGCTGTTATTGATGGCAACATGTTAAAGCTTTGAAGGAATGAATTAAGTTGTAGCTTTGTAACCCATATTCTTATAATGTCCTAACATGTCTCAGACCCTTTCTGCACTCTAGAGCCCAAAATAATGTTCTTGAATTAATATTAAATTTGACCAAGTTTTACAAGAAATTGTTCTTTAACCATTTTCCTTGGTAAAAAAGTCAAACTGGGTCCAGACTCAATTAATTCTGTTGTTTTAAATGCTTGATGTGACAGGTGGTAGTTAGCAGCATTGTTCAAACTTCTACATTTGTTTTCTAAATCGAGTTTGTTAAATTTTTGGTGTTTAGATACACTGTCTTAAAAAAAAAAGTTCCACAAATCTCTCCAGATCTTTATCCTGTGTTCTTTAGGCTATAATATAGACTTTAAAAATAAAAAAGAACTCAATTTTTTAAAATGTCAACATATTCGAAATTAGATCCCAAAAGGCCACATAATTTGATATGCACACTATTCGTAGATGACTGCGCTTCAGTCTGAAGAATTAAGAATGAAACACCATCTTAAAATTTGCAAATACCAATACGGTTTATGTTGATTTAGGGTATTTTAAAACGTTTTTTGCTTGCCACAGGTCGTTAAGATTGAAACAACTGAGACAGGTGTGGAGGTGCGCAGATTGTCTGACAATGAGGTAATGTGACTGACTGCTATCATGCTTTTGAATTTTATCAAAATGAGATTACTGTAATGTTGTTTTATCCGGTTTGACGGCCGAAAAGCTATCAAAGTTACAAGTACTCCAGAATCAATCAGCAAAATTGATAATGAAACAAAAGAAATCAGCGCACATAACACCAATTCTGAAAGAACTACACTGGCTGCTAGTAAAACAAAGGATCAAATACAAAACTGCCGTTTTCTGTTTTAAATGTATAAATGATACTGCACCTTTTTATCTTTAAAAATTCCTGGAATTATATCATCCACCCAGAGCCCTTAGATCAGCCTCTGACAATCTAATGGAAACTCCAAAACAAAATTATAAAACATACCCCGAACGTTCCTTTTTGTTCTTTAGTCCCCAGGTAAGGAACGAACTCCCATATAAAATAAGATGTGCCCCAACAATTTACATTTTCAAAAAACAGCTGAAGCGTTTCTTATTCACAAATGCATTCCTGTCATAATGATGAACTGTTATATATATGCATGTGTATGCCAGACTGTGAGACTGAAGAAATAGCGTGTGAGAATAAGAGAAAGAGAGAGAGAGAGAACGGAAATGTCTGTCTGTGAACAAATGTTTTAATGAATATTTCTAGTTATTCATGTTTAAATTTTACTGTGACCGTTCGTGAATTTTTATTGCATTGTATATTTTTAGTGAACGCATTGCCAAGCTCACTGTGCGACTGTTTTTCTCATAGAATGTTTTTATATATATACATATATATATGTATGTACATAATACTGTGTTTTACGTACACACGTGTCGATTAATTTTTAAGATATGATGTCTTTTTTGATGTAATGCGCATTGAGCATTTTTTTAAAAAAGGAAATATCTAACACACCACGAAGTGTCTTTAGGCCATTCCCAAAGGGGGGACATTTCTCGTTCATGCACAGTAGAATTGTAAATGGGCTGTTTCATCAATGTCACGCTCATAACTGTGCCTGATCTACAACAGGGAACTGCTGCTTTTTCTTTCCTAATCCTTACTATTGTCATTTTCCTCTACTTCTTTTGTATGTTTGTCACACTCTTGTGACCCACTATTTCCGAGGTGCCTTGATAATCGAAGCAGACTTTGTGCTGTTGAAGCTAGAAAGGTGAGCAGAGTAAGTCTGATTCCCTGTAAGGACTTCTCTGTTGACATCCACCCCTTGGCGCTCATATGACGGTATGCAGTTGCGAGCGCCGTAAAACCTTTACTAAAACTAAAACTAACATACCACATTTAATATCTGTGCTATACAAGTTGCTAAGATAATATTGGGTTGTTTATAGAATAGTGTTCTCAACCTTGGATACTGATGGTTGGAATTCATGGAACTGTCTGAAAGACAAGGATCGTAGGTCTAGAAGATAAATAGGCCATAAGGGTATTGTCGCTATTGCAAGAAAAATAGGTTACTTTAACTTTCAAGGTTTTTTTTACCCACTTTCTAAACAAAGGTAATTCAGATTCCTCAATTTTTCTCACAACCACCACAATATGTATCGGTATGTGAAACTTTGTTACAACTGTCAGTCTAAGTAACAAGTTTTACTACTCTTGAGATTTAAAAAAGCACTTTTTTATGTGTCATTTGAAAACTGCAGAGGTTGTAAAAAGGAACGGATTTAAACACAAAACGTGTGGACTTTTGGTTTTTCCATGTTGAAAACAGCTCAATATTTAAATTCATCTATTTGATTCTGACTGATCAAATTTTTCTGACTGACAAATAATATATTTTGTCATTGTTTGTTCTCAGTTACTTCTCAACCATTCCTACACGGAAGTGTCAGCTTGTGGGAGACGTACAGATATGCTTCTGTATTTTGGATACATTGCTGGGTATGAGAGCAAGTCTTGTGATTTTACTAGGTCTGATTATTTGTTTTATATTTTACGCCCTCTTCAACACTGCTTAGACCCTTTATATAATTATTTGGCCCTCCTGTCAAGGTCAACCAGGGATGAGAGGGTATGACATCCAAACAGAAAAATTGATATATTATGTTCGATAAAAATACCTTCTCTGCACAGGGATTGAATTCACATCTTCTGTGTGCTGTGGCGAAGAAGCTAACCATTACACCACAGGCTAGGTCGTCCCCTGTCCGACTCTCAGAGTTATTAGAGATTGAGAAAGTAGACGTGATTTTTGTAGTCTTTGTAGGAAAGGTTTTTGTGAAGTTGTCAGTGTGTGTGTTTGTCTTGAACTCGTACCGTACATACTTTATGTCTTTTGTAGGTGGTTGATGGGTGCTCTGGTGTTATTTGCTCTTTTGATTCTCTTCAGAGTTACTTTTCTCCTAATCTGATCCTAGATAAATGTGTATCTTGCTGTGAGCTGTAATTCGGGAATGTGCCTTCAAAAATTTTTTTACTGTTGTGAAAATAAGGCTGATCAGGATTGTTTTTCTCATTTAGCTGTTAATGAGCAAAAGTTCTGAAAGCAAAATATGATGGTACCAGGCAACACTATACAATAATTCTGCTTCACATTATTAGTGACACTATCACACTATACAGACAATCTTATGAACTTGCTTATCCTGGTTCTATACATGAACTCAATGTGCACTCATTTCTTATCATTTGGATCAGTAATCTTGATAAACAGTTTAGTCCAGTGTATGTTATTTGTTTTACTCAGATTGACCGTTTTCTTTAGTAACTTGTGAAAAACGCTGTTATTACTGGCAATATAAATTTGTTGTTTGTTCTGTCTTCTGACAACAGGGAGACAACCTGCAATATGGCCAAGGATTTCAAATGCTATGTCTTTGAAAGTGAAGAAGCCTCAGAGGTAAGACTCACAGCTTTGGTTTGCTTCTTTTTGTTCAAGTTTAATGCGGTACTAGAAATAGAATGTCATGTGAATCAGTGCATTTTACTTCAAGCCTGAGACTAAGAAGGAATATATCCAAAGAAGATTTGAAAAGTTCAGACTTTGCTGAGAGTTGGTCTTCAGTTTTATCCATATTTCTAAAGCTCATACTTCTGCAGCGTAATGGTTGGACCATTGCTTACAGAAAACAGGAGGATTTTCCAAGTGAAGAAAATGTTTACCTGGTATCTCTCTCTGCCTGTCTGCTTGGATGTTGTTTCCCCTTTCTCTGGCCCTGGTAGGCAGAATCATAGCAGCCCACTTTTCAAATGGTATAAATTGCACCAGTTGGGATGTAAAACACTAGCAATATTCAAGTAAAAGAACATTCAGATATTCCAAGCCTTACCCTGATCACAAAATGCTGTTTAGTGTTCCTGACAGTGATTTATCCTTACCCTTGTGTTATGTCTAGTGCAAGTTCCTTGTCTTGAACAATATTTTGTTTGCACACTTCTCTTCAGCTAAGATTGACTTTGTCTCTCTCTGTACTTTGATTTGTTTGATTTAATTTTTGCACTAACTTTTCCTCATGCATGGCAATAGATTCTGTCAAAGCTTTTGTTAAGAGAATATAGAGAAAAGTTTGATTTTTGAATTGGAAATCATCTAATCAGTTTGTGATTTTCTTCACTGTATGATCAGGCGGTGCAAAAACAGGGTAATATAATCAGCAAATAATTTTATGACAGTATTTGTTGAATTCAGTGCTACTGAGAATTAAAAAGTAGAGGAAGAATATTGTTTCCTTTTAACGAGTCTTTCACATTTCAGTTAAAAAGAAATGAAGACAGAAACTTGTGTAAACATGCATCTGTAGGCTTTTTTCTTTTTAAACCTTATTTTTTTGCATGTTCCTATTATCACTATGTTGAAAATAACATAAAAGATTTTCAAATTCAAGTGTTCTTTGACCCTTTCATCGCAGCATCTTCATTACTTGTTTTTTTTCCTTTTCCTACAGGCTAAGATCATCCTGTGTAGTATTGGTGAGTATTGATGGGTAATGTTGTTGGCTGTAACAGAAAGAGATTTTTAGAAAGAAAAAACACATTATTTGATCCTTGTGGGGAAATGTGATTTGTAGAGGCAAGTGCAATAGGTAACATACAATAAATAGGTAGCGTAAACACTCCGCGTAAACACTCCGCGTAAACACTCCGCGTAAACACTCCGCGTAAACACTCCGCGTAAACACTCCGCGTAAACACTCCGCGTAAACTCTCCGCGTAAACTCTCCGCGTAAACACTCCGCGTAAACACTCCGCGTAAACACTCCGCGTAAACCAACTCATGGCCTTTTGGTTGAGGTGAAATCGGGGTGATTCAGATCGCTGTTTCTTTGCTCTGTCACAGTTAAACACCAAATGCTATACACTTTGAAAAGGTTTAGCTTTTATTTATTGCTATGGTGTATGTTATTGTATGTTATTTGTATATTTGTGTATATGGAACTGGAGAATCGCCTTCGAAAGTTAAGCCACTCATAATCGGAACGTGAGGTCAGATAATTCAAAATTTGGCACCCAAACATTCAAATGTTTCTTGCGAAGATTGATGGTTAAATGTCGTCTTTTCACAAGCGAAGGATTACAGAGCTGTGAATGTCCATTGGTATATTTTTTAGCCTTTGGGGTTTAAGCCTTTATAATAGTATATAAGTTTTCAAAGATAATTATTTACATGAAATAAAATAAAATGTTACCAAAAAAAAAAGTACCAATTGAAAGATCAGTTCATTTTCTTTTTCAATAAAGTTTTTGGCTTGATATTATTTTGCATTAATCCTTCAGTGAAACTCCGAAAGCATATTTGATGCCATATATATAATACAGTAGTCTCTGCCTAAGATCCTGGTGCTCGGGAGCAAGGAAAAGCGGGATCTTAAGCGAACCGGGATCTTAACCGACGAACCCAGGGAAGAATCTATGGTGACCCATGTTAAGGCTTACAATCGGTAAAATGGTCTCCCTCCACTCTAAAATGAACTGACGTGACCGCTTGGTAGGTTTATGACGTATGGCGAGCAAAGAGTGGTTAACCTTGATGACCTATCACAGTGCATAGTGGCATGATGCGTACCATTTTCACTTATTATCCTATCATGAGGCTCAAGATCTACGCTTATCAAGTTGCCCCTCCCCTCCCCCTTACCTGTCGAAAATTTATAGCTTTCCATCTCCCCCAACCGCCTTTGTCGTTACACACCATTACGTTGTGAACACACCAATTAAAATTCAGTCTATCTCGCAAATTCGGGAGTAGAAACAACTTCTGCAATGGTCAGGGAAGAGTTCACAGTTCAATGTGATCCCGCCAGGAGCGAACGTGTAGGCCCTACCCACCCAGCGAGTGATGTAAGTTTAGGGGGATTGCTCAGGTGTGAGTGCGATGTTCCGGGAAAACAAATGGGTCGGTCAGTTCACACCCCGGTGTGATCCCGTCTGGGGCAAACATTGTATCGCTTCATCGAGTTTTACAACGTGTATGTGATCACATTCACGATAGTAGCTGATCTTTGATGCGACGAACAGTTTATTGATCTCAAATTTTCACTCTTGGTTGATCGGCTGTCCTGCCGGGGTTTTTTTCCGCAAATTATGATCTGAAATGCGGGATCTTAGCCGAATGTAGACCTTCAGAGTGAATCAGAGCGGGATCTTAGGGGTGACTTTTGTATAGTAAAAATTATGTTTTCTTAAAACAGCGGGATCTTAAGCGAACCGGGATCGTAAGCGGTGGGATCTTAGGCAGAGACTACTGTAATATATAATGCTCAATATCATGCCAGTACAGACAATCTTACAAACACACCATTGCTGGTTCTTTAAGTTCATGAAACTTATGTGAGCACATTATTTATCATTCTCATTATCACGTGGCATCTTAAACTGCACAACAACACTTCTTTGAACATCTGGATGAAGTTTCTACTGTTGTTGTTTTTTTTTTCTGGCTTCAGATCGTAATGGATACAGTGTGTGTTTGTGGAGATGGGGAAGAAAGAGATGTCACCTGCTTGGTTTCTTTTTGCTATCTCTACAAGTCATGCTTTTTCTAATCTAAAGTGCACTTAACATTTCTTCGGTTTTTTGCTATAGCGCTGATTAAAAGTACAGTTTACTGTTATCATCATTTCTGATTCTTCTATTATTGTCTCCCATTTTCCTCCAGCTCAAGGTTTCGAGAGGACCCACTGGTTTTTATGAGCCGAGACTCCCAACATGTACATCTCAGCACTTGCTACAGATCTGATTTTATTATTGTTGTTGTAGACCAACTGCTTTACTTCCTGGATCTGATTGACAAATAGTGGAGTCAAATATCTCGCACAAAGAGTATCGTGTTAAAAAAATTGCTTCCTCATACCTCAACCTCATGTCATTGCCTTAGCATCCAAGTACAGTTTGTGTTCTGTGGATGTTCTCGTGTGATATCATTGACATTTCCCAGTCCTTATTCCTTTTATATATTCTTTTATTTCAAGAATGATGTCAAAATTGTCCAAGATGACCACTTATTGGTGAAAAGAAAAGTGGTCATCTTAGACAGGTGGTCCTCTTGGACGGTGTCATTATAATAAAAAAGTGCAAAGAGGGAAGTGAGAAGTTGTTGTTTGTGCAGGTGATTGTCTTAGACAGGTGATGGTTAGAGCTGTTTGACTGTATATATGATAAACTGAAATGGATGGAGAGGGGAAAAAACTCTGAACCAAAACGAAAAGCTTGATGCTTTTATGAAATAAAAACTGAAGGAGGAAGCTGGCACATTCCTGACCCAAATATCGTCAATTTGATCAGATTTAACTCTTTATCTCCGGCATGCTCGGGCACCTTCCTTTACGACTTCGACATCAAATTACTTTTTGGCAATTGCCAAAAACAGGTCTCTTTTATGTGGAGTTCATTCATTAGATGAAGAACTATCAAACAAGTTTTGATTTAATGACCCATTTAGTGATGCAAAAACGGGGCCCGACATAGTGGGAGATGAAGAGTTAAGAGTAGGCTAAATGTTTGTGCCAAAAGAAATCTGGAACACTAATTTATCAACTCGAATGAGCTTTAATTTAAAGTTGTTGTTTTTTATTTTGCAGTGGACTAAACATTCCTATTTAATATTTGATCAAAAGAGTTTCTGTCTTCCAATAAGGAAACTTCATGCTAATGGCATCAATATGTGATGTCTTTGAGTGTTTGAGAAAGAAAGAGAGAGAGGGGGGGATGAATGAATTTTTGGACTGTATTAGTGAGGGCATCGAATTATTCTATGTGAAGGGATCAGATGGATTTGTTGGGATAATTGTAGAAGCACTATTGCTTGAACACAGTATATACAGTGTAGAAATACATTTGCTTCGTCAGCACTGATTGATCCTCTTTTTGCTCGTAATAAATTAGTCAGACTTGAACTCAAATTTTGTTGAAAGTTGCTCACATCTTGTAACCTGCAGATTTATTATTTGTCTGTTGTGGTAATGATAAGTTGGAACTTTAAAGCTCATTAAGCCTACTTTTGAGTAGAAATAGGCACTATAGAAGTCCTTTATTATTACGTTATATGGGCACGCTGACCTCATGGCTTGGCTGCTAGACTTGCTATTATCCTGAGTTCAAATTCCAGGCTGGGGCAAACTTGTTTTTGAGATTGACCTCACTTGCACAAATTTTTCCTCATTATACCAAGTTGGGAATGGATACTTGAAAGATCCTATCGGTATATTATTAGTGTTTGAAAATGGCATGCTACTCTGATCCTCTGTCAGGGATATAAAACATTGTACGATGTGTTGAGCTCTTTTGTGTTTAGAGATATTTTAGTACAATTTAAGATTGTTAATAGATTGACTAGGTGAGGATGTTACGTTTTTTAAAATTCAACTTTTCGAAAATAGGATCGTAATACCCCTGATTCCGATTTTTAAAATGTTTTAGCTACCCAACCTGCTGCCAAATTTCCTGGTGTGTAAGGGAAGAAAAACTACCAGACTCAGACAGTCTACGTCACAACGTCACGTGCAACTTTCTAACTTTAAAAGTATTAACTCCCTCTTTGCATTGAGCCTTTGTAGTCACTCAGTACCACTTTGCCCTTAGAAAAACATTACACTTTAGAAGTGCCAAAGCGAAGAGTAGTGAGGCAAACATTAGATTGACAAAGCGTTAGAAAATTCTTGTCCTTTTGTATCGTCACACCTTTGTTTACGTTACATTTATACAAACTTGACTACAACCCGTCTTTGACACCCCATTGAAGATTTTCCGTGGCCATATTACTAATTTTAACCAGTTTACTCATTTTCTTTTTGTTGATTACTAAAACATAGGTTGGTGGGTGGGCAGCCCTGGGTAAAACAAATTTAGGTTAAATGATAGACCCTTAGACTTTAATTCAGATCTCACAGAATGACAGTGAACTGAACTTGTCTGGTATGTCTGCTCTGCCATGTGTTTGATCTCATTACCATGTTTTTGTAGGGTCCATTATCTTTTGATCCGTTCTGTATGTTGGATGACTTGTAAATTCACTTTTTGTTTCACATGATCTTTATCATTTTGAATGTACCGGGTAAGCCTAATTTTTATCATTTTAGTACTGTTTTATTTGAATAGGTTTAGAATAGATTTCAGCTCTGGTGTGGTTTCTGAATGTCAAGAATTTTACAATGTACTAAGACTGTTTTGAAGCAGAAATAAAGAAAGCTTTACTTTCTAATATTTTTTCAACTTGTACAAGAACTTTAGTTCTTGGATTGAAGTGATGATCAGTGAGAAAAAATACCTATAAAAAAGCTAAAGATACTAAAGATAAAGTATGTAATCGTCTTTTTATTCACAGTATGTTGCTGATGTATTTATTGAAATGCTGAATTTTGTAATAAAAGGCAGCTTTTCTCTTGTTTTCAGATGATTTGTATGCTCTCTGTACATATAAGTTTATTGAAAATTCATTTTAAATGGCCAGTAGAAAAGGGAGTGAATTGCATGAATGAGTTGCACATTTGAAAGTATATTTAATTTTCTTTTCTTTTTGTGCTTAAGTACAAGGGGGCTTGACAGTTCTCATAAGAGGGGCTTGAGAAAAACGTGCATTTATGGAATGTTGTTCCCTATCAAGATGATGGTTGTAGTTAGGGTACTTACTTTGATGCTGTGTTTGACTGTTTGTGCCAGGTGTCCTCAAAATAGCCACCATCTTAATTTTTCATTCCTGGGGAGTGAATACTGGTAGAGATTACCTGTTCCATACAGGTCTGTGGCACCAAATATCTGGCTGCCTAGACTAGCTCTGGCTTTATTCACGTTTTTTATTTTTATTTGATTTACAATACTTGGTAGAAATATTAAGTTTTTGCAGAATTAAATGCTTACGTTTACAGGTGAGTGCCAATGTTTCAAATGCAAATTGTACAACAAATAGTTAATCGTATTATGAGTGTTTTTTGTTTTTTTAACGCGTCAGGTGTTTTGGCAGAGACTTGTGTATCTAGAGAACAAGTAACAGTAGGAACAAGGTTAGTGAAATGTGAATTAAAGAGCTGGTCTATCTCTAGCCTCTTGAAATAGATTTTAAAGAAAGAATAGATCAAGCTTGCTGCAGTTTTTTTGTTTCTCTAAAATTCATAGACTGAGTACTGAAAAACAAAAAAGCTATACCTAATGGGAAGTGGTTTGAAGGATTTACGGTCTCGGGTTTTTTATTGCTCACGAAAAGAACAAAAGTAAAAATGTTTTCGTGAATGCTAGGTGATAGGGGTTTAAAACTTCGGAAAATTATTAAGATGTTGGAAAATATGTTTGTTGTCTTAAATACAAAATTATAAGCTATATAATGTGGCATTCTGGTGAAATCAAGCGCTCGTCAAAAAAGTATCGGCATTTTCCTCCAGTTTGATCGTTTTTTTTTCTAAATTTTGTTCTTTGGCTCAAAACCTTTTATGTCCACATAAAAATATATTCCTGTGTGGATTTTACTGAAAAACATTGATTAAAGGCAAAAAATTTGTACATTTCAGTTTTCAAGGACTCTCAAGCTTTGGAAATCACCTAACTTTGGCAGCCTTTTTTTCACTAATTTTGCTCTGAAACCTGGCGACCCTGACCTCCTTCAATCCCAATCTTTTCAAGATAGGCGTGTATTTTTTTCATCAAAAGATGGTCAAATGAACACACTTTAAGAAGATACCAATAAGTCGAGATGCCCCAAAATTGACGTGCACATAATTCTACCACATCATGACACAGATATGTATTTATTTTTTCTCTTGAACATTGTTTGTTCGAGATTATTTATCTGGAATTTTCTATTATGAAATGTTTCATTTGTATAAAGGTTCAGTTGATCAAGATTTTATTTGTCACACAGAAAACTGTGGAGTTCTCTTTTGGACCCTTTGGGGCTATAGTATATGTGATTGGCTCCAAGGAAATCTACCGGAAGGTGGACATTTTCGAAACTGACATTTTTACACATTTGAAAAGATTCGTCTCTCATGGGCAATTTGCACTTTATTTAGGTGTTAATGGGGCATTTTGTACAAATTACAGTTCTTCGAAGGGCACAAATTTTTTTATATTCAATAATTAGGCTGAGTAATGTCTATTTCAGCTGCTACAATATTCATGTGCTCTTGGTTATCTGGAAAGGGAACAAAATTCGCCCATGCGGTATCTTTCAGTAGGGGCTCCACATGGAAAGTAATTTCCTATTCACGAGAATCGAAAAGTTGAATGCCGTATGTCCTAAAATAGATTTATAAGCAAGTATTTAGAATAGTGGTTGAACAAAATCATCTTAAATCTGGGTTTAAAAATGGTTTATCTTTTCATTACATATTTATGAGACCTAGTTTGTGATAATGATAAAGGTCTTGGCTTATTTGTAATGGTTTCTAAAACGCGCCTTCCAATGGGTTTTCTTAAAGACACACATGTATATAATATATGGCTCTATGATCTGTCGTGATAAAAAAATCATCATAAACTGTTATATACTTTTTTTTCTTTTCTTCTTGATCTCCTTTATTTCATATAGGCCTACTTGATGTGATAGATTCACTGCTGATACTGCTCTTCATTTGAGATGTATTTTGTCTTCCTATGAAAGTACATTAGTCTCCGTCTAAACGCACGCCATACAAAAGCCCGCTCCGCTCAAACGCACGCTTTCTCCATATGACGAGTTTTTTACTATATAATTTAGATGTACAAATGCATTAGTCAAGTAATCAGCTTCGCTCAAAGAACTTATAAAATAAGCATTCAAGAAATCACAAGGGACAAGAGAAAAAAGTCTCTCGGAATTCTGATTCTGATGTCAACCATGCATTTACCGAGTTGCAATAGATGACGGGCTGTCCGGAGTGGTCGCTTAGAAAGCCGTGTGGCTGAGCACTTTTTCATATGACTAGATGTAACACCAAGTGTTCCCTCTTATCCGTTGTGACATTTTTTGGAGCATGTCTGTACGATGAGTCCGTCTTTCTGCCACCCCGTTCTATGCCTTTGTATCGATTGCTGCAGTTGGGGAGTCCTTCACAAAACAGTCTCGTGTCGTCACTAAAATACCAAGGAAATGAGATGACTGCGTCCCTTCCTCCCTTTGCAAAGGTTCATGTAAACGCGCGCTCCATATAAACACATGCTAAAGACCCCTCCCAAGCACTGTGCGCTTAGGCGGAGACTACTGTAAATGATTTTATTTTCTCAGATCAGCAAAACTGCAGATATATTTACAGATGCAATGGGATCCTTAAGAATGTTTAAGTATATCTAATTGGGGGGATTTTTGGTTTGTTTTTGTAATGTAATCAGTATTAAAAAATTGAGTAAAGCATTTGCACCTTTTCAAATTGAATTGCACAATAATTGTATTCACCCTCCCTGTCTTTTTATTTTTTACATTTCGTTTTTAAGCATCTTTTATTTATTTGTTAAAAATTCACAATCGCTACCCATGTAAGATCTGTGCAATATTACGTTTTGTACCTTTACTTTTACTTAAATCTATGCACTACGTCCTTGATCACTTTGCCTTGGACAAGACGCTTGGTCTACTCATCTGATTCTGAAAAGGAAAACAATTTTTTTGTCTTTTTGTGGGTTTTTGCAAACCCCAAAAATTGTCACAGTGATGCTTGAGCACTGGTGTGATAGGATAGAGACAGCTGTGGCAAGATGATTGTCACTGAAGGTGCATGTCTATGGATTGCCAATACTTGTATGTTTGTGGCTGAGGATATTATGACTGATTCAGGATGTATGATTATGATTTAGTTCATTCTCTGCAGTGAGATGTTCATATGCTTTTTCCTTTTTATTTTGCAATAAAGTCTATAGATCTGCTAAATTACTGGTACACCTTGCATTACTGCTACCCATGATATTATTGGTACCCATTACTTGCCATGACTAATACCTATTTCAGTTTTACATTACTGCGACACATAACATTACTGCGACATATAACATAACTGATACCTATGACTAGTTTTATGTTTTATGTTATTGCTACCCATTACTTGACATTACTGCAACACATGACATTACTGGTACCGGGTCCTACTAATTGCCGTCTGTAGACTTATTTTTAAAATTATTTTGGCGTACGATTTTTAACAAATAATTTTTGTTTGTAAATAAACTGGCCTAAAATCATAAAACTGGACGGAATTGACCCTTTGGTGAGAACAAATGATTTGTTATGAACTGGAAGTTAGACGAAGCAGACCAACAATCTCTGATCATTTATTTTTCGATTCGCAGTTTAGAAAAAGTAGACCCTGCTTTTGTTTTCATGCTCTCTCCCAACCTGCCATCTCCCCTCCATTTCCCACCCCACTCAGGTGTAAAAGGGGTAGATCTATCAATTAAAGAGAGCAAAGGTTTTGTGAATGTAGGTGGTTCGCACGTAACAGGCTGCAGCACCTGTAAGACTATGACGGCCTCCGGACAGCAATTAGTAGGACCCCTGGTACCAAATACATAACTGATGTACTCCACTTGACTGCTGCTATATTGCTACACAAAACATGACAGGTACCCATTATTTGACATTACTTCTATGCACATGACATTATGTCATTATGGCAATATATGGTATTACCGACACCAGTATATTTTACTGGTACACACCTTGTGTGATATTTTTGTTGCTGGTGTATCTTTGTCCAGTACATTATGTGCAATATTTTCGCATGAGTGCTTTCTTGCGTGCATACATTTGTTAATTATAGACTTTTGACTGAAATAATTTTTAATTTGTATTTGGATGCTAATTTTACTGCAGCACTGTGAATATTTCAATGTAATAAGCAGATTACGGTTTTCTCATTAAATCATAGTTAATCAGAATAGGAAACTGCATTTTTTTAAAACTGGTTCTTAGTTCAAATTTGTGTGTCTTATACTATTTGCACCACAGTTGCAATGTTGGGGCACATGTCGTTTTGTTTGTGTGTTGGGAGGGAGATGCTTTTAGCATCTATTGCAGTGTGCAGGCAGATAATGCTGAAATAGTAAAGATGAGGGGTCCTGTAACTTTGCAATCTTATCAAGTCAGTTATTTGAAGCTGCTGATGTAGTAATTTCAGCACATTGAAGGGGGTCACCAGAGATTTATTAAGTCTATATACAGTATAACACGGATAGTTCAAACACAGAAGACTCGAAATCAAGCATCCGTCGAACTGTCCCTGCAGTCCCCTTTCTTCTTTATCTTTGTATGATAGTATCCCTCGAACTACTGATCCCTCAAACTACCGAGGTTGGCCCCGACAAATTTGAGCTATCCGAATTATACTGCATATGTCTTTTTCAGGTATTTGTTGATTGAATAAAAAGTCTTCCTTTTCAATATCTGTTTACAGTTTAGTAGCAAATTGGAAGACTTTTTTGTTACTGTTCTCACATTGAAATGAAAGCTTATTTCCTTTTCTTGCACTGACTATATTGTATTAGTAGACTTTTCAAGGTTTCATTGAAAAATGTCATTTTGTGGAACTGACAAGAGTGGGGCTATCTTTATTGGCAAGGATCTCAGCTCAAACTGAAATTATGTAGAGGTCTGAAGGAACCAAAGCATAGCTTGAAATCATTGTCGATGGAAACGTCAAGGAAGAGTTGATGTTGACAAATGCATGCTGTGTGAAAATGGAATGTGATCTTTTACTACTTTTTGCAAGGTTAAACCAAAAAAAGGTGGATAGAGCATTGCAAACAATAAACCGATGTTTTCGTTTTAAGTACTGCCTTTATGTTTTATTTTCAAATCTTTTCATTTTTACTGGTCTGGACGAGGTTGTTGTTTTTTTAAAAACATTGAACCAGGAAAAAAGCTTTTTTTTCTTGCCCTGTGCTTCAGACTGAAGTGATGGCAAATTGCTTGCTTTGCTCATAGAAATGATATGTTGTAGAGCTTACATAATAGACATTCTGATGCTATGTAGTCTGTTTTTTATGCATGGGGTAAAGAGCACACAAAAATTTCAACCATTTTACAAATCAATAAAATTTGGTGCTGATTTCCTTTTGTTCACTTGGGAGTTATTTCCATTCACCGTTGTTTTATATTTGTAAGCTTTCATTTCCGGGAACACAATTAAAGTTACAGCTTAATGGTTTCCCTTTTTTAAGCAGTGTGATATGGTCTTTCCTTGTTCTCACTTCAATAGGCCTTTTATGGCTCTCATTTCTCACTAGCCCAGTTCACTAAGCCAGATACTAGTTCTATGCCCAACATCCCATCGTAGGAAGGAGGAATGAAAAATAAAAAAGACATAGTGACAGAAACACCAATAGAAGGTGTCATGACCAGGGAGAAACACCAGCAAGAACTCAAAAAACTATAAAAGTTTCGATTTCAAGTTTTATCAGGAAAAGTTTCGACTGCTATTCAACCTAAATGTGTGCTGCATGCATTAGTCAAGCACACACATAGCCAAATCGGCTGCACAAGGAAATCTTTTTGTGATGTTTGAATTTCACTATGTGTGAATTCTAGGCGATAAAGAGTACATGTAGAGGGAAAAAACTTGGACAAATAGATCAAAATTTTTAATGAATTATACTTCCTATACCACATCACAATGTGCATTGGGTTCAGAGTTGCTTAAACGTTTTGTAGATTTGGGTTTTTGGCTTTGATTTTTTTTATCCACCTCTGCAGGGACAAGCTATTCTTCCTTAAAACTGAAAAGCTTTCTGCTTTTGTTCTGCCATGGTTCGCCCTCTACTACAACGTCACCAGTACCTGAAATTGAAGAACATGGCAAGTTGTGTAGTTAAAGAGAAGACGTGCGGACACATGTGGAGACAGTACCGGACACAGGCCTTCCCGCAGCTGCAAACTCCCCATACACAACTGTAGTGTATAGACAAGAACTACCACCAAACTTCTCTCTCTCTCTCTTTCCACACAGCTACAGTTGAACCTGCCCTGACGGCTACCTCTATAAGACGGCCACCTGTACAAACAGCCACTTTCCTTTTCCCCCCCTTGCATTTTTTTTGTATAAATCAACTCTGTAAAGCCTGCTCTACTTTAGCGTAGACCAGATGACAAGGACATGTGGTGACTTGAAGGAGGCATTGCGCTGCCAAGAGCGAAATGCGCGCAGCTTAAGGGATTTGAAAACAACAACAAAACTCTGTAAAACGGGCACCTGCCCAACGCGGCCGCGGCCACCATATTTTAACACATAACCCCTATCACACCAAGTAATAACACCGGTCTTAAACGGCCTCCTTGGTGACTCCATTATGTTTTGTCATAAATTGTGCATTGGCCCCTGGCGTTGTGGGCAAGCCATCTAATCCAATCACCCGTCATTGTTGTTAGTAATGTTAGGTAGTCCCTCCAACGATCATGTTGTGTAGGCCCCTCCCACTGTTGACCAATAGTATAGGTAACAAATGTTCAGCTGCTGGTGAGGTAAGCGTGTGATCCCCCATAACCCATAAGCCCCGCCCAGAACTCATACACAAATTGTAAGTGAGATGAGTGGTTACTGTTTACCCAGTTTGTAACAAAGTAACAATGGACGTCAACATGAACTTGTGACAGAAGCGTGGCTCGTTTTCCGAGTGGTGGCAACCCATGTGTTTGTTTTACCATAGCACTCGGTCCTCCTTGTCTGACACATTTCGTTTTGTTGTCACCCTTGCCCAAAAGCAGCAACAAAAGAAAAAAAAACCCCAGCGAAAACAACAACAATGATAACAACAACAACAATGTGGCTACCTTCGGTTGGGACCTCAGAAAGGAATGGTTTGTTTTCTTCATCTTGATCAGTCCTGCCTAAGACGACCACCTGTCTTATACTGCCACTTTTCTCCTTGACGATGGGTGGCCGTCTTACACAGGTTTGACTGTATTTTGTTTTTAAAAATCTGCAGTTATGTTTAATTAGATCTACTCACATTGTCGCCAAATTTTTGGTTACACTATGTTTGTGTTTTGAATATAAAGAAGACAATAAGAAACATCAGTCTGTTAAAATTGGAACTTCAGAACCATTCATTATCAGGGTCATCAATAAAAGAAAATTATTGAGTCAAGACGTAGGAAAATAATACGGTCCCATCTGTGGAGTTAATAAAATTTATTTTCCACTCGACTGAACAAACAAACCAGAATAAAAGAAAAAAAATGCAAAAAAAAGTACAAAAGTTTCATCAGGTAACACTCATAATCAAATATGATTATATTGATCGCAAAATAATAGTTATTACAAATGGCAACTTGGACTTAAAATACATAAACAAGTTACAAGTTAGTTACTGTTAAAAGTTAAAAAGAAGTAAAATTATATATATAAGTGACTTATAAAAAAGTACCATAACATTGAGCTAAAGTTTCACAATGAGAATCTCAATTAATTGTTGAAACATACTGAAACAGTTAACAACTGAACCGATCTCAGTGACGCTCTTGGTGAGCAGTAACATAACAGTTCAGGCACTGTAAAATAAGTTATTATACACTCAAAAAATATCACAAAAGTACCGATACTTGATACCTTATTCAAAATCAAAAAGATAAAACAACCAATGGTTAACATTTAATAGTTTTCAAAAAGTCTTTAACTTCAGTTCATCCAAATTGAGGAAAACCTTGAGAAAATTCAGTACTAATGTGGTATAAGCCTGAATTTTTTTCTTGGAGAAACACAAATAAAACTCATGTATTTTATATTTCTCTACTTTATTTTATACATGACTTTGCCTGCTTAACATTTTCCCAATCTTAACTTTTGCTCCAAAATTCTCTCTTTGAAGACAGACATGGCTATTATAAGATAAAGTAAGCAACCCTGGTAAGTTGTCTGAACCCCTTAACTCATTCGCTACGCCGAGCTGTGGGTAGTGGTGCGGCGAAAGTGTCTTCCGTACGCCAAGCCGCCCCCGACGGCTCGAGAACTGACCAATACTTCTAGCTTAGATTTTATTCCAGTCCGCATATCCATGTTAAAATAAAGGCTATAATTGATTACGTTGACTTCCGGGTCAAGCGTTTCCACAGAAAATCGGAAGGTTAGATTCAGTTTTGAATCACGATTTTGAAGTTTATATACGACTTTGTTTTATCGCGATGCCCAAATTATAGCCCAGACAACAGTCTTAGTTCTTTTATACAACAAAATGTATCATTATTTTGCTCACTAAAGAAATGTAGGACTCTTATTTAGAATATTGATACTATTGGACTCAAATTGAAAGTGGTCTGTTATTCCATATTTTTCAGTGCTAGATCTAGGTCTAGATCTAAAATGTCAAAATATTTTTATTCTCCCCGAAATCACTACTTTTTGGTGAAATTGCGCAAAAGTACCTATCAAGACATGTATAGGTTTATTCCAAATGCAATTCTGAATAATTTCATATAAGATATGAGTGTTTTTTTCTGTTTGTGAATGCATCTTGTCCTTCTTTCACGATTAGAAAAAAAATTTTTTTTTTTAATTTTCAATATCGGATATTATGATCCTAATGACCCTAATGTACAAATTTTATGGAATGTATGTAAATAACTGCAAATTTTTTAATATTTTCCTGTACTATATTCATTTATGGTTATTTTGAAGTATCATTTGACTAGGTACAAACAATTTTTTTGAGTTTCACCAAAGATTATTAGTTTTATGTTTTAAAATTTTATCCGCATCCAAGCAATAATTGTGTTGAATAATGACCTCTTCGAGGAACCAAAGTTCAAAAATACACAAATAAACATTACAGATGTATTTTACAAACCATACTGAAAATTAAGGTATAAAATATGTTGATATTTATTTGAATTTGTGGCCCCAAAGACCTGTGAACTGCGCACTAGTCACCATCTCATTTCGCCCTCCCGAAAAAAAATCGTCCACTAGCAGAAAATAATATGTAGCAGATGAGTTAAGTTCACAATAGTAATAACTGGTACAAAATATTTTTAATAGAGTGTAAATATTTAGACATACAAAGATACATGTAGATTTAATGTAAATAATGCTTTCTGCAAAGAATTCCTCCAAGAAAAATCACAGTGACAAATCATATTGATCAATGAAAAACTCTTCATAATTCCAAATTTGAAAAAGTACCTGTTTTTGTTGACCAGATACAAAAAGTTTGTATATTAAATAATTTGCTTATGGCACAAGGATTCATAATGACCAAAACAAATATAATGGCAACCACAGAAAATCTCAGGAAAGACATATATACCCTTCTTGGCGGGCATTTTATCTTTTGTGTCACACTTGTTAAACAAAAGGCTCTTTCATCATGGGAATAGGTTCTACATGGTCAGAATAAGCATCTGGATTTATTTTTGTTTTGTAGTTCTGAAGATATGTGAGCCTCAGAACCCAAGCCCAGTCACAAGGCATGCGGCTGACAGGAATAGCCGGGACCTTGATGACCATGCCACTGGATGGGCTACACTCGAAATCAAAATAGCCAGGATACCCAACAAGGGACACTTTTGTCTCATCCGATGCGATGGGATCACCCAGGTGGATGGTGTTGTTCTGTGGCCATGACAGCAAAATGGCGTAGACAGTGGGCACTTGGGAAGAGTTGGATTTTGAAGTATACCTGTAAAAATCAATACAAGGTTTTCAGTAAAATAACAGCAAAAACTCATTTGCCAAGGATGAACATAAACAGAAATTCCCTTTCAAAACATTATAAAGGAAATTTTGTTTGAAATACTGGCATGTATGTATTGCCTTTTCTAGAACAAAACTGAATTTGAACATGAGCCGGTACCAGCATCTATGTTGTAGTTATGAAGTATCCCTCTCATCTCAGGTCGAAGCAGCCCATCCCCTAAAAGATCTAAAAATGTGCCAGTGGGGGCGTAAAACATTTAACATTTCTACATTTCTACATTATATGGACCAGCAAGCACTAAAACATGATAATATAAAAGACAAGTGTGGTCTTTTGAGTTTAAATATTTTAATGTCCAGCACTTTGCTATTATCAAAATATTGCTCCCAATTTTCTTAATCTTCATAGACCATTCAATTGTGTAGGTTGATGGAAAAATAACAACCAAAACAACATCATATTAAAATTAAACATCGATAACAAACTTTGTTAGGAGAAATTGTAAAAATTTAGAGAATGCCTGAGTAGCACGATATCACCTTTAATTCTATGAGTGACAAAAACATTACATAATAATTTATTGAATTTGGATTTAATCGCAAGTTCAAGAGGAGAAAAATACCATGTCCAAGGAAGCTCAAGTCCAATGGGGTCTAGCTTAAGTCAGACTGACCATGGTCAGCTATTCATGGCTCCAGCATATAGAAAAAAAATGCATCTCTAACAATCTTCTCACACTTTTATTTATTCACATGTCATTGTTTAAAATTAAAGCCCTAAATCATGAAATTAACATTTGTATTCAGAAGCCTAAAGGAAGTCAGACCCTATTCTCAACTCTTTACAAATCTTTAAATCCTCAGAGTTTTTTTAGTAGAGGTTTTACGGCGCTCGCAACTACATAAGGTCATATGAACGCCAAGGGGTGGATGTCAACAGAGAAGTCCTTACAGGAAATCGGGTTTACTCTCCTCACCTCTCTATTTTCAACAGCATAAAGTCTGCTTCGACTATCAAGGCACCCCAGAAATAGCAGGTCACAAGAGTTTGACAAACATACAAAAGAAGTAGAGGAAAAATAATGACAGTAAGGATTAGGAAAAAAAAAAAGCAGCAGTTCGCTGTTGCATTTCAGACACAGTTATGAGCATGACATTGATGAGTCAGCCCATTTACCCCCTTTGGGAATGGCCTAAAGACACTTCTGTCAGTAGTACCGCCCCAGGAGGTTAAATCCTCGGAAAGGTCGGAGAGCTAAAATCATAATAAAAAGGAACTAATAATAAAGTAAACACCTAAATTATACACTGTAAAGCTAATCTGACAGTATAACATTTGAAGTAATTTCCAAGAGTACAAACAAAATAACCCCACTATTATAAGCCCTTACCACACATTATGAGCTATGGAGTCATTCTGATGGGTCCACACATGTGTTTTGTAGATGGCCTCCCCGTTAACGCCAAGCCAGGAGCCCATCTGGCGCAGTCTCTCTTCATAGAGAGGTGCAATCTCACCATAGGCAGTCGGACCAACATTGATAAGGAAGTTCCCTCCAAGACTGGTAAAACAATAAGACAGATTGGGGATTAAAATCAAGCCTGAATAAATAAAAAGAAAAAAATGTTTTTTAGTGAATAGTTTTTTCCTCTTTAAAAACAATCCTCCAGCAGCATTTCTAAGAATGTTTTATTCCAAAAGAAATATATAAATATGTTGTTGTCATTTAAATATTATGACACCTCACAAAACACAAGGCATGTCATGTCAAAGTCTGAGCTTTTGGTCTCCCATCAGGACAAGGGGCTGACAGGGAATATTTCCGATACAATGAGATAAATAGTCCAGACCCCTCTCGGATTCTAATCTCAGCACAACAGATTAAGCCACAACCAACTCTGCTTCAAAGGCATAAGCATGTCTGCAAGGAGAATAATTAATCTGACCGCAATGAGACCATACATGGTTTTACTCCTTAGACTGCCACAGGACCCATTTATGGTCTCAACTGGAGCAACTGTAATAAACTTTGATCAGAATTGTGAAAAAAAATTTGAGAAGCTAGTAATTTGGCGGCAAAAGGTGGGTGTGTTTGTTTTCCACATAAAAAAGCCTATGCTGTTGCTTATATAGTAATTCTGAAGAGGATATCAAAGATCCAAACTATTCGAGTGAAAATTTAAGCAACTTATCATGCTTATTCATTGAACTATATTTCTCCTTTCTAAAGCAAATTTAACCCAGATTCACATGAGATGTTGACATTCTGTTGCAGCTCATGTTTAAGTTGGCACAATCGACGTTACACTTTACAAGGAATAGATCAGGACTACAGTAACATGTGGAAAAAAAGGCAGATAGACCAGATCTCACCAGATGATCACAAAGACCTGCTTTGTTGAGAAACTAATACCTGTAATATGAGAACGGGGACCTCATTTTGTTTCCTTATACGGGTATTTTATCTCAGTGTTATGACAATCCGCTCAGACATTCATTCCACAGGTCCACAGGTTGTGCTTTGTAAGATGGATACCTAACATATTGTTCCTGACCTAGTACACGGATCATAATATGGAAACTTCAGATGCCATGGAAATGCCACTTATGGTGAGTTTACAGGACAACATCAAAACTAGACTCCTCCACCAAGAACAAAATAAAATAAGGGCAACAATGAAAAAGAAAAAAGAGAAATGAGAATACCACAGGACAGCTTCCATCAACTGTTCCACATCAGCAGAGTCATGGGTTGCACAAAAGAAAAAGTTGTAAAAAAATTTCCATTGATTTTTAATCTCACTTAAGGGGTCTAGCTACCAAGATTTTTGGCCAATTTTCGATGAAATTATTGATTTTCTGGAAAGCAGCTTTTTAACACCTTTGATCATTGCTGAATCAGATTTTCTGGTCCATTTAGTGAAAAAAAAATTTGATAAAATAGGTGAAAATATGTGTCGAGCGACCTCACACCCCCCCCCTCTTGCAAAAACAACCGTTTGGCCACTTTTCCTCTCTTTTTTGTTACATTTTGCGTCTACTTGGCTCACTTAACTTCTATAAATGAGGTTATTTGTAACTGTGCAGAAATTAGATTTTATACATGATTAGAAATAATAGTGCACATGGTTCTGGAACCTCTACAAGGAACAAACCCTCAAATTACACAGAGGTATTTTTTAAAACGTTTTTCTCAAAACTTTGCTTTCCAAAGACCCTTCATCACTAAAATCTTAAAATCTGAGCTACTAATCAAGATAATGTACTGAAACTTTCCAAGTATGTGCAGATTTGGTAGTTACAGGTACCTGGCTAGTTGTATTTGATAAAATATACTTAATATTTCAGAAATCTACATTTGAAATACATTTTGCATTTAAAATTGGTACAAAAAAGGGACATTACTTTGAAACCCCCAGAAAGTTTACCAAAAAAACCCCAAAAACAGCCAAGTACCTATAACTATTATTATTAACTTGATATTTATTCAAAATTAACATTATGCCTTTCGGTTTTCAAAATGTTAAGATTTTCCTATGTATTGTGTAATTTCAATATGGCTGTCAGTGTTACATAACACTTTGGGATAATTTGTTTTTAAAGATTTTGATTTATTTTGGGGAGAGTATCACATATTTTCGGAAAGTTTGGTTTCAAAAGATGCATAAATAACGAAGATAGCTTTTCTTGGTAGCTAGACCCTTTAATTGTTGTCAGCTGATGTCATGATTAATTGAGTAATCAACTTACACATCCTAGTTAGGATATGTGTAGATTAATCGTTCTTGCCTTGTGATTATAGATCTCACCTAACAGTTGTCACCAGCTGCTCTATCAACTCCTCTATGGTGTGAAGTTCTGAGAGCTGAGCATTGCGCCGATACCCCCACGAGTTCTTGTCCACTGACATGCAGTTCTCCCATTTGTGGGGCACCAATTTGCCTAAAATATTTTCGGTCATAAAGGTATATATTTATTAGTCATATCAAAATTAAACAACAATGCTATTTAATAAAAAGAAATTTGGAATTAATCCTACATCCTTTTAAAAATGGAAAGACTTACAAAGTAATATTTAAAACTCTTTTACGAAGTGGAGATCTGTACAGTCATAGTATTTGTTTTGACTGTGGTGAACCTTCTTTCCATTATAATTCCAATAAACCACACAAAAAAGCTGTATAGAAGGGGTTGACAACATACAGCCATTTAGAACCCTTAATTTAGAAGTCATTGAGATGTTTGCCTTTTTCAGAATTAGAGTCGTTTTATTGAGGCCATCTTTAGCTATTTCAATTCTTCATTTTATTGCTGTGGAACATTTGGCATTGAAAAAAGGCATAATGATATATCCTTGACATTCAAACTGTTGAGTAATGCATTATTCCAACAAAATAACAGGTTGTCACATTTCACAACATTTTGAATTTTGTCTTTTACATTTTACTTTATTTTTTTCATCTTTCTCCAAACTAAATCTCATTTGATAAAACAATCACAGTCTATAGTGAACTATAATGAAATACTCGTCATCTTTTGAAAGAAAGGGCAAAGCAACTATATCAAAGCCATAGTATTTCTTTTGCAACACACAAACTGTCTTTGAGATTGAATTGCTTTTCTCAAAACAGTGAAAGTGTGACTATGTTTGTTCTTTCATTGATTGGAGTTCTCATACATCTTGAACAAACCTGGCGTGTAGTGATCTGAGCAGTCCCAGAATCCTCCATGCTTACAGCGCGTGTTGTTGCCCCACCGATCATTGACAATCACAGTGTCCTTCACAGGGCTGATACAGAGAGATAAAACATATTTAAGAAGTTTGCCAATTTGGACAAAGGACTGTTAAGAATTAACGTAGGTGTGAAAATACACTTTGGAAGATTTAACACCAAGCCCAAAGGTCTAATTTATTTTAAAGTAAAGAAACACTTTTCTAAAGCAATGATGAAGGGAGTATTTGCTATTTTAAATTTATAAATAAAATTTTAACAAAGTTGTACAATAATACTAAACATTTGAAATATTTATTACAATCAATGCTTTATGACATCAACGTCTGAACTAAATCAACTATGATGCTTTGTCAAAATTTTCACTACTGGCGATTGAAGTACATATTTTTTCAAGTATGTGTACTTAGACATCTCGGCTTTTATCTTCAATTTTCCCCAAAATGCGTGCACTTGTTTAATTACCTGTCATTATACAACCAAGCAATAAATTCCTTCGAAGTCCAATAGTCATCTGAAGCCATCCATTCTCCATCAGACCAAACAATATCTGGTTTGTACTTGTTCACCAGTTCATGCAATTCAGGAATTGTTTTTGCCTGCATGAGGGGAGGAATTAATTAATTTTTTTTCTAATAAAACTTTCCCTTTTATAAGTAGCGAACAACAAGAGGACAAATAAAAAAATATTGTCCAACATTGTAATTACAATGCCACTACTTTGAGTATTATATCACTTTTATGTGCAACATTTTTTGGTCAGACCTCTCCATTTAATCAAATTAAAACTCTACCAAAATAATACCCACTGTGCATGCCCAGTCAAAACATTCTGAATTTTTTAAGAACTATGGACTAATATCTTTCCATCTATAACAACATCCCAATTTTACCTCTCCTCTCCGCAAAAAACTACACTTCACCTCTACAAAAACGGAAATACATTGAAAAGGTACATAAATATGTATATTTTTAGGACAAAGTGAGAGTAGATTGACCTATTACATTTCTTTTTTTTTTTTTACATTCACAACAAACTTATACAAACAAAAATTACGCCAGAGTTCTTTTCTTTCACGATTACATTATTAAACTGCTCCAAAAGAAGAAAATGTATATATGCCAATTTACAAAAAAAGAAACATATAACATACTACTAGATCTACCAACAAATATATGACATCAAATCTGAGACTACCTTCACAAAATCTTGTGTCCTAAATCCGTTGGCTTGATCTCTCATGAAAAGGGGGTTGAACCATTCAAACATGGAGTGGTAGACACCAAATTTTATGTCAGTCTTAGACCTAATAGCGTTCGCCAGGTCCCCTAAAGAAGACAAAGAAAAAAAGCCCACTATCAAAACAGGAAAAATAGCAGCTTTCCTTATGTATTACTAAAGGAAATTAGAATAGAAGCATTGAAATGCAGACTTGCAAACTTTTTAAAAACCTAATCAAGGACATCCAACATTATATCATCAGTTTACATAAAAACAAACAAAATTAGATCAAGTGGAACTGGTTTACATATGGTGTATGTGATAAGATTACTCAAATTCCTAATTGCCAAATCTGGGAGTCCCGCAAAATTTGGTACAGTTAGCAATCAACTGGAGATAAGAAGCTCTGACTTATAGAAAACAACATCTTATAATTGATGATTACTCCATTCTCAAATGGAGCGAAAGTCAGAAAGGGACAATGTTGAAGACTTCAGGGGTGGGGGAAGTTGTGTAGTTGTCCTGAAATGTTCAAGCTAATACAGGTGGTTTCATTCATGTGAGAGTTATCCATGTGAGAGTTATCCATGTGAGAGTTAGCCATGTGAGAGTTAGCCATGTGAGAGTTAGCCATGTGAGAGTTAGCCATGTGAGAGTTAGCCATGTGAGAGTTAGCCATGTGAGAGTTAGCCATGTGAGAGTTAGCCATGTGAGAGTTAGCCATGTGCATATATGGGAAGTCCAAATACACAGCAGCTGTAGGTGTGCAAAGCCTATTATGCTTATGTAGGCCTTTCCAAAATGACTTTTGCTTGACTGTGGCAGGCGTTAAAAGACTGATTAACCAACTCACCAACCAGATCTCTGTTAGGGCCAACATCTTGAGCATTCCAGTTAAAGGAATATTTTGAAGGCCAGCTCGTGAAGCCTTCATGATGTTTGGTCACAAGGACAACATAACTGAAAAATGTGGACAGCAGTCAAATGGCATTTGCCATATTTGTATAAAAGCCAGTGCTTGTCAATTTTTTTTTTTATAGCCAGTGCCCTCATTTGCCAATTTTAAGAGGCTAAAATATTCAAACTGCAATCTACATGAATTTCCAAGTGAGATATAAAATACCACCAGTCACTATACTGGGTGATAGCCACCACCCACCAAAATGCCCACGAGAGGGAAACACTACCCAACTCTAAAATGTTTCAGTGAAATTATAAAGTGCAACACTATATTTGCAATTGCCACAAGGTTTGAAAAAGATCAAAGTGTGTAAATACTTTTTTTCATGGCTTGACAAAGAAATGCTAATAGTATAGCAACATGCTTAAAACAGACACTTATCTCATTTCACTAACATTTTCTTCAATATTTGCAAAACTGTTACCGTTACTTCCAAATCATCTTTTCCTTTTAAATCCATCAGTTTTATTTTTAAGGGCTTTTTTGTCCAATATTTGTAACCATAAGCTATAATAAGACACATCTGTTATTCACATCATCAGTTTGTCTCAGTTTCAACAGTTTTAAAGATATTGAGGCAAAAGAAACTCTTAAGGAGATCCTAGCAGACCAAGAAAGTTCCCGTTGTAATCTCTTCTTAAAATCAAAACACAATCAACAAAAAAACTGGCTTTGATTAAAAGAGGACTCAAGGAATCAACAAAAAAAAAACAGACAAGTACGTCATTGGTTGGATAAAAATAAATGACAGGAAGAAAGTCTGCAGCCTACCTAGCTCCTGCAGCTTTAAAGATGTCCGCCCACTGGCCTGGAGAGTAGAACTCTGCATGGAACATGGGAGCAAAATCTGCATATGTGAAGTCTGGCTTATAGTTGTCCTTCATGAACTTAACAAAGGCTGGATCTTTATACCCTTTCCAGTAGTACCAAAACCATTCTGTGCCGAAGCCAGGAACAGAGAACACACCCCAGTGGATGAATATTCCGACTTTGCCTTCATCATACCAAGCTGAGGGCGAAAAAAAAAGATTCTGACAATTGTACCAGTGTTCCGGAATATCAATTGTCTTAAAATGTTTCCATCTTAATATGGGCCTCGTACTTGTCTATACACATCATTTGACACGAAATTGTTCTGGAAATCTTCCTGTGCACAACCACTACAAGGCACATGCACAGCCTTTGAGCCTTTTTAAAGAGCCATTCCTATCAGTCACCACTTGGAAATCATAAATTAATTTATAAGAGCACCATGTGCTGAAATCAAAAGTACCAAACAATCACTGGGCAGAGTGCTTACTTCAGAACATTGCATTCAGATCATAACCAAGCATGTGCAAAATATAGTAATCATTGCAATGGAGCATAGTAAATGACAATGTTAATTAATACAGGTCATCTAGGCCAATGATTATGATCTAGGCCATGGGAAGGTTTCTTATCTTTATGATTAGCCTCTAATCATAACAAAATCTCAAGATTTTACTTTTTACCCCGTCATAATAGTCAAGGTTAGCATCTGATCAGAAGTGACTGCAAAATATCAATAATAATGGGGGAAAAACACAATTTGTTTATGATTTTTAAAAACATTTTCCAATGTTGAATATTCATAACATTAGATTGCACATGTGTATTGGTCAAAATATCTTATATTTTGTCAGTCATTTTCAAGACAGCTATTCCACACATCTGTACATTTTGAATTTATTTATAAAAATAATGGAAAAACCGTAGATTGTTAAAGTGTTAGAAGGTATTAGTAAATACTGAGATTCATTAAAGAAACTAAGAAAGTCGAAACTTTGCAAACAGTTGAAAATCCTGAGTTGATTATCAAACAAATTTCATTGTCGCTTGGTGGCATTCATTCTTAGTATGCTGTGGTATATGAAATAACCTGGTCATTCTGATGATTTATAAATTAGGAACTCTGATGTCAGAAATTTCGTTACATTCAATTTCAGATAAATGACTATTTCAAGTGCGAATCATTTATTTCAAAGGGCAAACAAGGATGTCAAATAGTGCACTGTACAATTTCATACTTAAAGTGTTGTAAGAGTAATTTGAGAAAGAAAACGCAGCAAGACCTCACGGTGCAACAAATATAAAAACAGAGGGTCTGTGAAAAGGGAAGAAAGCTGGACGTGGGCTGGTGCTCCTGAGCAATCCCGTATTTAACAAATGAAATATCTTCATGAACAAAAATACACCATTCTATTCACAAGGCCAATCATAAAATGAAGTTCAAATAACAGAAACTTAAAATGCAAGAATAAATAAATCCACAACCATTAGAATTCAGACCATGAGTTTTGGAAAACTTTGAATATTCAAATCGAAGGCAAATAATATTGTTTTCCTCTTTATGTGAAGACCTAATAGGCCTAGAGTCAACATTAAAGTGAAGATGAATTTTTTTCCGGAGCACATCTATTGAGTCAAACAGCAGATGACACAGTTTGGTGAGGTTAAGAAACGGGTGCGGGTGATATGATCATTAGTACAGTAGTCTCCGCCTAAGATCCCGGTGCTCGGGAGCAAGGAAAATGTGGGATCTTAGGCGAACCGGGATCTTACCCGAATGGCCAGGGGGAAGAATCCACAGTAACTCATGGTCAGGCCCATAATCTGTACAATGATCTTCCTTTACTTTAAAATGAACTGACGTGACTCCTGGGCACTTAAAGTTCTTTTCAGAAGTCGTTTTTTTTTCACTTTTTATTTTGTTTGGAAGCAGGGGGTGCGGCTTTTTAAAAAATACTGTGTCAGGTGTGAACCAGTTGGCCTTTCAAGCAATGCCCCCCCCCCCCCCCCCCCAATGTATTACTTTCCATCTCTAACGGAGTTCCCTGCCCATGTCATGATGCATTATAAATCGTTGTGTTGTGACCAAACCGACCAAATTGAAAAAAAAATGATGAAAGGCAGGTTCACTGCCAACAGATGACCCCATAACACAGAGGCGATCGGACAGTCCACAAGTATGGGCGCCGGTCTGTCTAGGAAGTTAGAGCACAAAACTGAAAGACCAGAGCGATAGTCGGGAGAACGTAAGCGTCCACGAGTTCACAGTTTGATGGAAAGCAGCCTGACGCTTGTTTGTAGGCCAACGCCTACTCTAACTGTTAGAGTATGTGTCTTCCCTAACTGGTGTGTGATCAGGGAAAGCAAGGCAGCGATGAGTTCACACCTTGGTGCGATCCCATCTGGGGCAAACATTGTAACCGCTTATCGTGATTTACAACAGAAGTGTGATCGCATTCAAGATAAGTGAATTATCCGTGACGCGGCGGACCATACAATGATCGCACATTTTCGCTACGTGGTTGATGAGCCGAGCGCGCCCAGGTTTCTTGTTCTTTTTTTTTTTTCTTAATTAAATAAAGGAAAAACTAACCAAATTATGACCTGAAAAGCGGGATCTTAGCCGAATGTAGCTGCTTCAGTGCGGGATCTTAGGGGTGACTTTTTCTCCCTTGCCCTTTTTTAACTCCCAGTGAAGCACAGACCATCAACAACATTACTCCAGCCAAGCCTGTCCTGAGCATCCTTTTCTATCTGTTTCCATGATGTCCCCGCTTTTTCAATTTCCGCTTGTACCGCTCGCCTCCATGTCATCTTTGGTCTTCCCTTCTTACGCTTTCCTTGTGGGTTCCACGTTAAAGCCTGCCTGATGATGCTTGTCGGGGGTCTCCTCAGGGTGTGTCCAATCCATTTCCATTTCTTCACCTGAATATCTTCCTTTACTGGCCTTTGGCTTGTTCTCTCCCACAGTTGAGCATTCGTGACTCGATCGTACCACTTGATCCCCACTATCCTTCGTAGGCATCATTTACGAAGCTCTGCAGTTACCTTACTGCTGATGCTGTGAGCCTCCATGTCTCTGAACCATACAGTAGAACAGTCTTCACGTTTGTTTTGAAGATCCTCAGCTTGGTGTTCAATCCCAGTTCCTTAGACATCCAAAAGGGTTAGCAGCCCTTTCCCATAAAACAAAAAGCAGCTACAAAAACATCAACAGCAAAAACAACACGACCGCCAGTTCTGGAAGGTGGAGGACCTTCATCACCGAGGAGAGGAGAGAATATGGAGTGTAGAATGACGCGGGGTGGTGAAAGCTGGAAGGAAGCCACCAAGCCGAGAAACCTCCTGTCGACCAGAAAAACCACCGGACTTGGCACCTGGAATGTTCGTACAATGTACGAGGCAAGGAAGGCACTGCAGGTTGCAAGAGAGATGGAGGCCTACCAACTGGACATATTGGGTCTCTGTGAGACGAGATGGACGAATGCAGGGGAGTGCCAATTTGCTTCAGGGGAAACACTTCTCTACCCTGGACATCTGGAGGAAAACTCGCCGCATACAGAAGGAGTGGGTATTCTGTTATCAACACACGCCAAGCGGGCTTTGATAGGATTGAAAGCAGAGGGCCCGCGACTAATATCTGCTGAATTCCGTTCACAGAAGAAAGACATCAACCTTCATGTTATCTAGGGATATGCCCCCACCAATGATAAGGACTAGGATGTGAAAGAGACTTTCTACAAAATGCTACAAAATACTATTGATCAGGTTAGAAGGAAGGACATCTTGATTTTAATGGGAGACTTCAACGCTAAGGTAGGCAGTGACAATGTAGGCTTTGAAGAAATCATGGAGAAACACGGAAAGTCAGAAACGAGAATGGAGAACTATTTGCAGAAATATGTGCAACGAATGGGCTCATGATAGGAGGGACTGTTTTCCCACATAAACAGATACACAAATCAACATGGGTGTCGCCAGACCAACAAACTGAAAACCAGATTGACCACATATGTGTCAACAAGAAATTCAGGAGATCAATAAGGGATGTTAGAGTTTACAGGGGTGCAGACGTAGCTTCTGACCATCATTTGCTCATTTCAACTATCCGACTAAAACTAAAGCGAAGACAGGGAATTGTCAATAATCATAGGTACCGGTACAACGTGGAATTACTGAGAGAACCATCGTCAAGAGAGGAGTTTAATGTAGCAATTAAGAACAGGTTCCAAGTGTTGGAAACACTAGGCGAGAATAGCAGTGTGGAAGAAACATGGGAGGCAATAAAAGAAGGCTGGACCACTGCGTGTCAAGAGGTACTGGGGAAACGGAAACATGAGCACAAGCCTTTGATATCGGCCACCACTCTGAGGAAGATAGAAGAAAGGAATAAGAAAAAGGATCAGGTAAACAGGAGCAAGACAAGAGCAGCCAAAGCAAAGGCCCAAGAAGAATACACCAGAGCAATGAAGGAGGTAAAAGTCAGCCTACGGAAAGACAAAAGAAACTATGTCGATGACCTAGCGTGCGAGGCAGAGGAAGCAGCCGGGGCAGGAAACATGAGAGGACTGTATGAAACCACCAAAAAACTTGCAGGCAGATACAAGAACGCAGATGTGCCAATGAAGGATAAAGAGGGAAAGCTTCTCACAAATCCAGACGAACAGAAAGAACGCTGGAAGGAGCATTTCAAAGAGCTGCTGAACAGATCAAGGCCAGAAAAACAGTTTGACATTCCACCAGCAGAGATTGATCTGGGGGTGAGTGAATTAAAGCCTAGTTTAGAGGAGATCAAGGAGGCGATAAGACACCAGAAAGCAGGCAAGGCAGCCGGCCCAGATGGAATTTCCCCCAGAAGTTCTCAAGGCGGATATCGACACTGCGGCAGGGATTCTTCATGAAATTATTAGCAAGATATGGGACAGCGAAGAATTTCCACAGGATTGAAGAGAGGGATTGCTCGTGAAACTACCCAAGAAAGGAGACCTGCATGAGTGTAAAAACTACAGAGGAATCATGCTCCTGTCCATTCCTGGGAGGATTTTAAGTCGTACTACACCAGAAAGACTGAAGGAAGCTGTGGATGCAAAATTAAGGAAGGAGCAGGCAGGATTTCGTAAAAAGAGATCATGTACAGATCAGATTGCAACTTTAAGGATAATAGTGGAGCAGTCCACCGAGTGGAACTCTTCCCTGTAC